AGTGTAGTTCCTGAATTGCACTGTAAGACGATGTCGTAGACAATCAATCAAAACTAACAGCCAGTCCCCTCGGCTAGATAGACACTTCCGAAAACGCGAATGATCGGCAACAAAAAATAATCCATCTTCAGATAGATGACGTGCCTAAATACTAACTTACGTTAACTTCAACAAACAAGGTTGAAACCGAAATAAACTGTAACGTTGCGTTCGAGAAGTTTAAGTGCTTCAAGTGATTGTTTTTATAGGCAAGTTTGCTATTATTGGTTTCATCGGATACGAGAGCACGGTTGAAATAGATATCACGACAGCACGGAGGTGGTTTATTTGCATTTGAAGGGAGAGATTGCTTGTTGGTGAATTGTTGTCACCTGTGGAGATTTCCGTCTGTATCAGGTTTTTAGGGAGATGTAAAGGCCCTACAAAATGATAGAAAAACAAAGCCATTTTTTTCCAACAGAAGTGCCCAGTTACGGAAAATGCTATATTACAGAGCATATATGAATTAAATATATAATATAATAAAAAATGCTAAGACAGAGTGTAACTGAATAAGTTTCCTCATCAAAAAAAAAAGGATCTTTCATATAAAGAAATTTCATTGGAGCATCCCTTGTTGAGATACAGCCCCTTGAAGGGGGTACATAAAATTTGTATAACAATTTTTTTCACAAGCACTAAAAAAGTTACAATATTGAAATCAACCTGACGTTTTGTACTATCAAAAAGAAACTTATCCAGAAATTTGTTTGGTTTACCCCATGGTTGTAAAGGGTGGAAAACGCAATCCCTAATATTATTTCCAATGTAACTTTTCATCTCATCATTTGTTTACCATTTAAAAATCAATTTCCGATAGCCTGTTTCATTCTAAACAAAAAATGTCTCATGGGTTTTTTGCCCAAAATAAACCAGTTCGCAGCAAATAATTATTTACTGAACAACTACAGAGATACACCGTCATAAATGCCAAAATACCAAAGTAGTATATCTAGTAGGTCGCTATTAGCGACAATTAAATTGGTATGACGCTGTCAGTTTGTGAATTTTCGAAATTGAAATAAAACTAATTGGGTGTTGTTGTTCTGTTCTTAATTTGTTACTTTAATAATTCATTTATTATTGTAATGGCATACACAAATGAGGAAATTGCTGATATGCATTACGTTTACGGTCTGTCGCAGGGAAATGGGTTAGAAGCTTCTAGAAGATACGCTGAAATGTACCCTCAACGGCAGCATCCTTCACATAGAATATTTGCTCGACTTCATCAACGATTACGACAATGACAATGGTTCGTTCGACAAAAGAACGCAGGATTGTAGTCGCCATCGAGAAGTACGAACACCGCAGCTTGAGGAAGCTGTACTTGATTTGATTGAAGAACAACCTACTACCAGTACTAGAAAGATTGCTTTCCAGATAAATTTTGATCATATGACGGTATTTCGAATTTCAAAGGAACAACTGCAACCATCTGCAACGAGTACAGGCACTGTTACCGCGAGACTTTCCGAACCGTCTTGAATTTTGCAATTGGATGCTGGACATGATTAGAAGGAATCGTGACTTTCTGAAGACGATACAATTCACAGACAAATGTAGTTTTTCTCGGGACAAGATTATTAATTCTCATAATTACCACATATGGGCTGATGAAAACCCTCACGCTATTGTCGAAACTAACCATCAAGAACAGTTTTCTCTTAACATGTAGCTCGGAGTTATTGGCGTTGATTTGATTGGGCCTCATTTTCTACCTCCTCGATTAAATGGTGAGGCATACGTTCAATTTTTAAGAGAAGCGCATCCAGTACTGCTGGAGGAAGTTCCTTTGGGCGTCAGAAGGGATATGTTTTTTATGCATGATAGGGCTCCCGCCCATTTAAGTCAAGTAGCACGTCAGCATTCAACTGAAACATATGCAAATCAGTGGATAGGTCGAGGAGGACCACTGTTAGAATTCCATGAGTGTTGAAGAGTAATCTACAAGAAGAGTCTGTACGTTTTGATTTGCACATATATCTCATGGCTCGTTTTTGCAAAACTAAAATATTTTGAAGTAGATAACCACTACATACTCCCCAAAATGGAATTCCATATCTCAAGTGAGATTCCACCAAAGAAAAATAAACAGTTTTAGCTGCTGTTAAACCAAGTTCATTTGCGACTACTCTGACTGCATAACATCCAGAGGACATTTTGTTACACAAGGCCTAAATATTTTCTTCAAATTTTAGTTTACTATTGATATGTACTCCTGAAAATTATAGGCTACTTTTGTTCTCAATGATGTTACTCCCAATGGGTATATTGTCAAGTTCGCATCTGAAAGTTACTATATTAGTTTTCGAAATATTTAGAGAAAGACGATTTGAATCACACCAATTTCTCACTGTCATCATATCGTTGGATATGATTTCAGTTAAATCGTTTGCATTGTCCGATTGCCAAAAAATGGTAGTATCGTCTGCAAATACTGTGAATTTCCCTGGAATATTTATAGTTGTCAAATCGTTGACGTAGATTAGGAACAATGTTGGCCCTAGTATTGAACCCTGAGGTACACCCTTATGTATTTTTCTAATTTTTGAGCGGTGGTTTGTTTCCACCATCTGGCTACGACCTGATAAATATGAGCTGAACCAGCTCAGTATCACTCCTCTGAAACCGTAATAAGGAAGCTTCCACAGCAGTATTTCGTGATTCACACAGTCGAAAGCCTTCGAGAAATCACAAAATACTGCAGCAGCAACCTCGCGTATAGCGTATCCTGAACACGAAGCTGATGATATTAGTAGAAAAGTGTCTGCAGGTGCATAAATAACAAATTATTGTGACCAAACGTCTGAATCTTCTGCTACTCTACTTGTACCCTTTCTCCCTAATTTCAAGCATGCTTTCTTCTGATCAAAATGCTATAAAACACCCGACTCTCTAGATCTGTCACAAATTGAAAACATGTGTTGTGAATGAACAAATTTGATGTCTTCAAAAAAATACCTTGAAACAGTAATACCTGATGTTCAAATTTTCGAAAATAGATTGACATTCACTCTTACCTCCACGACCGATTTTAGAAAAAAAAATTACAAAACAATTTCTGTGCAAAGTATGTGGGAAAATTTTCTCGCCCGAATCAAGTTGTGAGGACGAAAAACGCTAAGAAAAAAAGCCTAAGCTAACCTTGGTTGAATACAAACCAACATTGCCTAAAACCTGTCGCTTAGCTGAACCAAACTCAAACCTAACGTAACCTAACCTAAACTAACCTAACTTAAACTAACCCAACCTAACCTAACCTACAGTAACATAACCCAAACCTAACCCGAACAAATCATCCATTTTATTTTCACAGTTGAAATGTTGTGCATGTAACCTTCGTCATCGGAGATTGTCTTATTTCTGGATGGGGAACTAAAAAAAAATAAATTTCATCAAAATAGTCCGTGGGAAGAGTTGTGGGAAAGAAATATGTTCTGAAAAGTACACCTAACTCAACCTGAGATGAATTCTACTGAAACCTAAACTTGTTTTACGTACATCTCAAATATCCTCACAACAGTTGCTCAGAGTGGGCTCCCAAACTGAATCTAACTTGAATTCCAACTGAACCTAACCTAATTTAAGCTGAACCTAAACATCCATCTCATTTTCTTCCACACACAACATGTATTCTCAAAATCCCTATAACTTCATTAATGCTTGTTAGCAGGGATTGTCATGAGAGACTTTTTGTCTCATTTTTGTGTGATTGAATAAAAAATGTAAACATCAATGAAATCGGTCATAGGGGCCAAAGTGAATGATAACCTGAAAATATAGAAAAATTATATCAAAAAGTAAATTAGAATATAGGCTTCCACGGCCAGAGTCATGATCGAAGAGAATTGAATCCTGACTGGTAATCCGAGGTCGAATGGGCCCGAACTACCCAACGTTTCGTATATTACTGTGGCAGACATCATCGGTAGTATGTGCGTTGACTGCGAGGAGGAAGGTTCTATATCTGTGAAGTAGGGAGAGTGAGTTTAGGCCCACAGCACTTAGGCCACAGGTGACTCATTGTACATCCTCCCGAGGAGTTGTCCTCCTAGGTCATTGTCCATCCTGTCTTCTCCAGGAAGGTGGGCAGGTCTCGAGGAGACATCTCTTTTATATCGGCAGGTGTAGGCCAAGACTCGCCGAACACACACTCTCTTATTAACGATAACTCCGGACACTCGCATAGGACATGCCTGACAGTTTTATCTTTCTGTTCACACATCCTGCATAGAGGTGTGTCCACTAGCCCATATTATGGAGGTGTTTCTTTAGTTGACAGTGGCCACTCAAAAATCCTACTGTTAAGCATAGGTTTTTCCTGGTCATCGCCAGATATTTCTTCAGCGCCAGCTTCCCAGGGTCGTCCAGGGTGATCCTGGTGATCCTGGCAAGATTGCATCCTTTGATCTCATCCCATCTCTTTAGGGATTGAGCATGGGTGTGACGTTTGGATAGTTCCGCAATTGTCGAAGTCATCAGTTCGTAGGTGCCACTGGGTCCTGAAGTTCTCAGTCCAGCCGCTTCCTTGGCTGAAGAGTCGGCAACGCGATTACCTTCACTCCTGTCGTGCCCTTTAACACACCTCAGGATAATGTTATTATCTACCGAGGCTTTGGCTAAATCTTGGTAGCACTAGCACGTTGGTAGCACGTTGAGGATAATCTACCGAGGCTTTGAGGAGGAATGTTATACATCGATGTCTCGGTCAGTCGTTGTTGACACTTCGAAAAGTAACCTCCGTCCTCGTACACACCACTGATGATGTTTGCCGCAGTAGCAGACGAAACAAACGTACTTCATATGATCACGGCCTATCAATCCGTATTTTGGGCTCTTCAATCAAAAGATTGATAATTGATTTGTATTTCGAGGGGTGTAAAATTTGTACTTTGGGTCATAAGGATTACTATTTTTGTTGATGTCAAAAACTATAGGGATATACTTCTTATTCGCAGGTCGCTGCCCAAACTCAGCAGCCAAGACGAGGACGGGCACACCCCCCACACCCAATTTACTGGGGTAGCCCACTTCGAGCCCATCCCGCATGACCACGATTTTTGTGAGAGGGTTGTGATAAATGTGAGTAATAATTTTCATTATTATTATAATTATAATCCTTTGGTATAAGTATATCTATTGATCAAAAATTGTAAACTTTCACAGCCGGATATAACTGTGTGGAAGCTATTTTCCGGTTTTTTTTGGCCGTAGTTTGCAGGTTTGTATACCTGACCTTTCGTCTACTACTGCGGTAGACATTATAAAAGGCGATGTGGTGACGGTCAAGTTATTACTCCCGATTTGTTGCACTGCGACAGTTACCGCCTTTGATTATAAATACCGTAGTAGTAGAAGAAACGTCAGACATAAAAACATGCAAATCACGGCCAAAAACCCGGATATTAGATTTCAAATAATGATAGATTCCTCCGAAAAAAAATACGAAATAACTAGGACCAAGGATGTCTGGCTTGGGCAGAAAGCCAAGCTTGAAGAACGATGTTGGATTTGTCAAGCGAAGATGAAAGTTGAGACATACAGTAAAATGGTGGCCGTGAAGCTGTGCTCAAAAACCAATTGCTTACTTACTTTAGTAAAAAAAGGGTGAATGTAGATGAAAAAAATTCAGTTCATTCACCGAACAGCTTGTAGATTTTTATCGGCACCACCAGCTAGTAGTCCTGGCACCACCACCACCACCACCAGCGAACAATTATAGCAGGGGTTCAATTTACGGATTTCAATAAAATGTATTGTCAACTTTTGGAATATTAACGGAAGCAATCAATATGTTTACTATCATGGTTTTTTTTCAAACATGTACTTAGCCACTAGCGGAGTCCCGCAAGGATCTAGTCTAAGCCCGTCATTGTTCTTATTATTCATGAATGATTTGTGCAACTCGTTAACCTGCACTATATTGATGTTTGCTGATTTTGATTATCATATGACTTTCAATTACCACATTAATCCTTGAACAGACAACGTGTTACCTCCGGGCTAGTACTAGAGTGCTACCAAGATTTAGCCGAAGCCGGTAGATAATAACATTATCCTGAGGTGGGTTAAAGGGCACGACTGGAGTGACGATAATCGCATTGCCGACTCTTCAGCCAAGAAAGCGGCTGGGGAACTTAAGGATCCACCTATGGCCTGATGACTTCGACAATTGCGAAACTAGCCAAACATCACACCCATGCTCAATCCCTAAAGAGATGGGAGGGAATGAAAGGATGCAGTCTTGCCAGGATCACCCTGGGCGATCCTGGGAAGCTGGCGCCGAAGAAACATCTGGCGATGACCAGGAAAAACCTACGCCTAACAGTAGGATTTCTGACTAGCTACTGTCAACTAAGGAAATACCTCCATATTATGGGGCTGATGGACACACCTTTATGCAGGATGTGTGAACTGGAAGATGAAACAGGTCCGGCAGGTGTCAGTGCAGGATGTCCACTCATTTATGTGAACATCGAAATTTCTTGTATTTTACGTTAGTCATTGCCTTACCTGCTTACACTGAATGTATTTTATTTCATACACTCTATGAAAACAGCTTTCACAGTTTTTACTCAACATCGGAATATTCACACAATGTGTGCTGTCACACTTTTGCAAGTCGCCCAACTCCACACACGAACAATAAGGAGACTTTGTATTCGAAGAAAACAGAATTCAGGCTAGTAGGCCGTGGTAGAATAGAACATAAAGTACGAAACGTTTCGTCTCTTCAGTCTCTGCAACGAATGGCTAGTTGCTGAGACTTATAACCTTCGTTCTTGGACTGATGCAGTATGAGACGAAACGTTTAGATCTTCAGGTTTCTTTCGGTCACGGCTTACCAGCCCGCAATTTGTTCTATTCAATCGTGACTCCGGCCGTGAAAGCCATGTTTTTATATTAGACATTGTGTTGGTTTCAAAAATTGTATTGTACCTACATGGTTTCACGTTATCAAAGATGGTTTGTTTGTTGACCTACTGCAAACTTCATTATTTCGTGAAGCAGTAATTTCAAGTAAACTTATATAGAGATTTCCTACCCCTTCATTGAAAGATTATGAATGGTAGTTAAAATTTTCAAATTTATTATCGAAATATTTATAATTTTATATTGGCTTACCCACAACAACAAATTTTTTTTTTAATTCATAGTGGATCACTGCTCACGTTGGTACCATTATTTTCAACGTAACACTTGCTGTCGCGAGTTGTCCTTCATTCATATACATAATGTCCGAACCACATGGCCTCAATTTCTATATGTACATAATTAAAAAAAATAAAAAAAGTACGTTAAAATATTTAAGTGACGTATTCCTGAGACAATTTTAAGAAAAGAAGTCTCTATGAACTTGTGTCCGAAAATGCTTCGTTTTAGAGATACGGGGTTTTGAAATTGAATTTTTTTGTTCGCTTTTTGAAAATAACTGTTGCAAAAAATAAGTTATTTGCACGTAATTCGGTACTCGGGGATTTTTTGACGTGGGAAATCATAATTTCATATTAATTTTCATGTAAGAGGGCACTGTGTACGCTGTCGTTATTTATTTCAAATTTCCCTATTTTTTTTCACAGTAAACTTTTGGTACTTTTCATGAAAAAACCTAATTCTCACACCTATTCCAAGTAAAAAAGGTACACCTTCTCAACTACGCTGGAGGTGATCGTTTTCGAGATATTCACAATTTTCCATATCGATGCATATCACTTTATAGCCAAATTTGATTTAATAATTTTTGTCACTCTCCGCTTGGAAATTAAGTTAATCAAATCGAGTAAGCTATGAAAGTTTGTTTATAAAAATAGAAGATCGCTGTCACATTTTTAAATGTTGATTAACAAATTCACAGTTCGGAGTTTATAAAGTAATTTTTTGGTACCATGCCCGACTTTACAAACGCATCTATCAGGAAAGGTATTCGCAACGCGTGACTCCTTGTGCAGAGACATTTGCGAATCTTTTCCGGCGACTTTCTGAATATGGAAGCCTTGAAACAAATTCTGCAATAGGACGGCCACGGACTACAAGAACTGTAGAATTGGAGAAGGCGGTTCTCGAAGAAATTAGTGAACATCCAGAGACAAGTACAAGAAAAATTATTCAAACTTTAAATGTGAGTCACATGACAGTTTACAGAATTTTAAAGGAACAGCAATTATATCCTTATCATATTCCAACCACGTATCGAATTCGCTCAATGGCTTCGAAGAAAAGTCGAACAACATCCACAAATTTTATCGAAAATTCTCTTCACAGATAAGGCTAATTTTTCAAGAAATAGTATCATAACAACCACATCTAGGCAGAAGATAACCCACATGCAATAACGCAAACTCATTTCCAAGACAGATTCTCTTTTAATGTATGGGTAGGCATAATTTGGGATTATTTAATTGGGCCCTATTTTCTCCCCTTACGTTTGAATGGAAATGCTTACCTACATTTTTCGGAACACAAGCTTCTCCAACTTGTGGAAGATGTTCCCATTGACCTCCGAAATCACTCTTGGTTCATGCACGATGGAGCTCCTGCTCATTTTAGTGTGATAGCAAGAAATTTTTTAGACGTAGCTTATCCTCAACGATGGATATTAAGAGGAGGCGCTGAGCATTGGCCCCCGAGGTCACCGGACCTCAATCCCGTCGATTTTTCCTTTAGGGAACACCTAAAATCACTAGTTTATGTTAGCCTCATCGAAAACGAGAAAATGTTGAGGGATCACATCATAGCTTGCTGCGAAACGATACAAAACACTCCGGGCATTTTTCAACGGGTGTGGAATTCTTTGATGAGGAGAGCAGAAGCTTTTATTACTGTTGGGGGTCGTCACTTTGAACAGTTGTTGTAATAGTTGTTTCGTTCAATTTTTATATGTTCATTTTCCTAATAAATAACATGGTACTTCTCCGAATTGTTTTAGTTTACAAACTCCGAAATGTTGGACTTTATATTTGAGGAGGTGTACCTTTTTCACTTGGAAAAGTTGTGGAAATTAGGTTTTTTCATGAAAAGTACCAAAAGTTTACTGACAAAAAAGTTAGAGCAATTTGAAATAAATAATGACAGCGTACGCAGCGCCCTCTAGATGTTACATAAAAATCATTAGGAAATTATGATTTTCCATGTCAAAAAAACCCCGGTTTCCGAATTTCGTGCGAATAACTTATTTTTTGCAAGTGTTATTTTTAAAAAGTGAACAAAAAAATTAAATTTCAACACCCCGTATCTCTGAAACGAAGCATTTTCGGACACAAGTTCATATAGACTTTTTTTCTTAAAATTGTCTCAGGAATACGTCACTTATGTCAGATTTCATCGTACTTATGTTACACCCTGTATTTCGTTGGTTATTAGGCTAATTAGTTTTATACAAATCACATCTTACAATTGTACTATGCCTCTCGTTTTTCGATACTTCCTGTTGCCTGACGAGTAAGTAAACATCAACAATTTTCCTGAATTCACAACCTTAAAATTGAAAAAAATTAATTTTCACAAAAAACTTTCTTTTCAATTAAATTACTTACTTTCAGGTGAGCACTGATGATGACGAAAGTCGAAAGCGCTTTGCAATTAGAATTTATAACTATACACTTTTATAAGAAATTCTCCGATTCATTCATTCTAATAAATATATTCATTATATATTATATGAATGTCATTACGATGTCATCGATGACATAAGCAGATCAAGCTTATTCCGTGACATCAAAAATCGTAATTCATGAATGAAGTGTGTGTATTTTCTATAATGTTATCCAATTTGGTACTGAAGAGTCTTAGGGCAAGTGTCTTACGGTGAAACATCGATGTATACCAGTGAAGATGACAGTGTTCCATGTAAGTCGTACACAGGTTGTTAAAGTTTGGCTTCAGACTGGGTCATTTTTCTCTGAATCTCGAAACGTTGTTACAGGTGTGCCCCAAGGTAGTGTTTTGGGGCCGACACTATTCATTTTATTTGTTTATGGCCTTTCAAAAATTAATCATCCACAGTGCTCCATACAATTTGCTGATGACACATCTTTTACTGTCAGTGGTTCGGAATGTGAAACATTGTCAGTAAGAGCAAATGATGCTGTATCCAACATGCAAAATTATTGTTCTAAGAATGGCTTGATTCTAAATAATCTTAAAACCAACACCATTCTCTTTACAATTCAGGAAACTAATTGTAGTGTATTGGTTAGGTCTGAGATTAAAAGTATTGAAAAGGTAAACTATAAGTTTTTATTGATTCCCAACTCAATTGGAATCATCATGTTGATTTCATACTGAAGAATTTAGCGACACATTGTTTCGTTATAAGGAATCTGCGTAATTTTGTGTCTATTGAAATTCTTAAAAGTTACTATTATGCATATGTTTACTCTGCCCTCAATTACTGTATTATTTGTTTTGGCAACTGCAATAGAATCATTGACTTATTAATTTTCCAGAAAAAGATTATTAGAACAATTTGTTTTAAAAAGCCACTCGATTCCTGTAAACCACTATTTGCAAAGTTGAATATATTAACTGTTACTTGCATGTATATTTTTAATTGCGTAATCTACGTTAAATCAAATTGCTCCAAGTTTCAGAACAGAGATGATACATGTCTTCTTTCGGGCTTCACCCTGAGAAAAAACTATAACATTTTAATTCCTAGTCATAAGTTAGCCAAGGTGACTAATGGACCTCATATCTGTCAATAAAACTGTACAACAAACTCCCAATATCCATTAAAAAAATAACTAGTGTAAAGCTCTTCAAACAGAAAGATCGAAAACTATTATGTGAAAAGGTATTTTATTCGCTTGATGAATTTTTTCAGTCTGATTTGGAATTTTAAATTTTAATTTTTGAATCCCTTTTATGGTTTAATGTTATATAATATGTCATATAATTATGTTGTTTTATGATTGTGACCTCATTGTAAATGTACTGAGTTATGTGACTTTTTTCATGCCTTCCCTAGGTCTACGGAAATAAAGATTGAAATAAAGATTTTTTGATTTTGATTTGATTTTGTTACCATTCATTTAAAGTAGAACTCATATGAATAATATCTGATATTTATTCCACAACGAATGTTTGAAATACAAACTGGTAGAGAAAAGTATCTTCTGTATAATTCAGTGTTCATATAGAAGTATTTGTTTCGAAAGAATTTTTTCTTTCGTATAATTCAATGTTTATATGAAAGTAGCTGTTTCAGGAGGGGGTTTCCCCAGTTCGTGTCTGAAAGTTGCTTCCTTGCATGATCTACACATCCATGTATAGAGTTACTTATTTTCAAATTGATTACTTCCTTCCTTTCTTTGGAAGATTCCCTCATCCTTTTTTTGTATCAAGATGGAGTACTAGAAAGCCAAAAACTGGAAAGATGCTTACTGATGACGTAAAAGAGTCTCAGTCCGAAAAAATTGCTGACCTAATCTAAGGTCAAATTGAAGTAATTCCGAATCAAAATATCATTTGGGTTGATTCCTCTACCATTAATGTTTTCATTGTACGACTATAAATATATATTTTTTCAGGTCAGTGGTCTCCGGTTCGAAACCCAGCTGCGGACGCTCAACCAATTCCCCGACACCTTGCTGGGCGACCCGGCGCGCCGCATCCGCTACTTCGACCCTCTGCGCAATGAGTACTTCTTCGACAGAAACCGCCCCTCCTTCGACGCCATCCTGTACTACTACCAGAGCGGGGGGCGGCTGCGCAGGCCCGTCAACGTGCCGCTCGACGTCTTCTCCGAAGAGATCAAGTTCTACGAGCTGGGCGAGCTGGCCATCAACAAGTTCCGCGAGGACGAGGGCTTCATCAAGGAGGAGGAGAAGCCGCTGCCATCGCACGAGTTCCAGCGCAACGTCTGGCTGCTCTTCGAGTACCCGGAGTCATCTCAAGCGGCGCGCGTGGTCGCCATCATCTCGGTCTTCGTCATCCTCCTGTCCATCGTCATCTTCTGCTTGGAGACGCTGCCCGAGTTCAAGCACTACAAAGTGTTCAACACCACCACCAACGGCACCAAGATAGAAGAGGACGAGGTGCCCGACATCACGGACCCCTTCTTCCTCATCGAGACCATCTGCATCATCTGGTTTTCGTTCGAGTTATCCGTGCGCTTCCTGGCATGCCCCAACAAGTTACATTTTTTTCGTGACGTCATGAACTTTATCGATATCATCGCAATCATTCCGTATTTTATAACCCTGGCCACGGTTGTGGCCGAGGAAGAAGATACTCTAAATCTGCCGCGAGCTCCCGTCAGTCCGCAAGACAAGAGCACCAACCAGGCCATGTCGCTGGCCATTCTTCGCGTTATCCGGCTTGTGCGAGTCTTCCGAATCTTCAAACTGAGTCGGCACAGCAAAGGACTACAAATCCTCGGGCGTACTCTGAAAGCCAGTATGCGCGAGTTGGGCTTGCTCATTTTCTTTTTGTTCATAGGTTAGTATATATTTCCCTTACATACATACATTCAAGTATAATACTCATACAGTGTGCTTCGCTTCGTGTAATACGTTGAATCTTCGCGATGGTCAGTATGAAAGATCTCTTTGATTTATCAAACTATTTTTGGAGACATCCTAAATGTTTCGTGGACACAATAACAATTTCCCCTAAGGAATATTTCTTATCTAGTCGATGATGAACCTTATACATCAGAAATATTAGGGGTTTCACCTCGGAATGAGAGATAATGAAGATAATAATAATAATCGTCTTTATTGAAGAAAAATCAGGTATATAAATCATATCATGATGATTCAACCCTCTTATTTGATCAATAGAAGGCGAGATTTAACCAATGGCTACTCTTTCATCTAACCCTCTAATGACCAGCCAATAATGAAAGCACAATAGAAACGAACAGTAGTGAAAAGAAAATAGAAAACGCTTCAACACATATAAAATGAAAAGAAAAGAAAATGTCCAAAATTGAAATGTCACTGACCACAAGAGCATGACCATAGGGTGCAAAGTAATGACAAATATCTTCCCTCATATATTTCTTGAATACCTCAATGCCTTGAGCTCATTTTCCTGACATGAGCTGGGTTAGAAATGAATAGATTTCCCAAACCACACCTCACGATTTGATATCCACAAACTTTATTTGTAAAATATATATCACAACATGTTTCGCTAACACAATAACTTTATCAAGTAATTTGAACACTTCAAGTTGTCTCTTACACTGATATTTATGAACTTCAGGTAACCATAACTGAGACTACCTCCAAAAAAATACCTAAACCTCTACCTAAGGTACATCTTCAATTATAATCACCTGAAGCATATTATCTCACATCTATATCAATGATAATTTTTCTCGTTTTTTAAAAAAACACGTTCAGTTATGGTGATCTATTCAAATCCAGTTTCAAACCTTTATTTTCTATGTGCAAAATTTGGAACTCTCCGTTAAATATAATTTAATTCTAGAAGATGATTTGAAAATGTGGAATTTACATAACTCATATGATGGTCCTGGATTCAATTCCTAAATGTTCTGCCAGTTTGACCAATATTTATCTATGGACACGTTCCACACTTTAATTAATATACTCCTGATTACTCTAATTTGGATGTTTTGTCTTTATTATTTTTAACTAACTTCCTTAACGTATTACTTGGTCAAAGAAGACACGGACTGGTTTAAGTTTGACGATAGTCGTGTCACGAAGTGTTCTGGCGATGCATTGAATTTATTGGAGCCTCTGGAGACACCCTACATTTTGTTTTATAAGAGAGAGGACATTGTTAGATCAAGATCTTCAGATGATGTGGTGCTGCAGGTTTTTCCGGGTTTTCCTGCAGCGGAAAAAGCAAATGCGCCACTGGAATCAATGAACTCGCCCCGGAGCGCCAATTAATTTTTATTGTTGTTTTTATTTTATTTTTATCGTTGTTTTAATATTACTTGTTCTATATGCAATTTCAATATCTCGTTTTCTCAAAAATGAAGCCACTTTTTCCGTTGTTAATCCAAAATACGTTGAAGCTCTATAATTTTGATTATCTACGTTATCAATAGGGAAAACGTCTCCAATCGCTTTTTCGTAGACTTTCTTAAAGTATTTTGTTCATTAGTTCGGCTCTATACCCATTGTCAACCGCAATTTGCTTGATGATATTAAGTTCTTTATTGAAATTATCTATTGAAAGAAGAACATTGACTAATCTGCGAATTGTGCTATTATAAGCTGCTTCTTTATGTTGATAAGCATGGTTACAATTGTAATGTATCGTAATCTCCGTATAGGATGGTTTGTGATAAACTGGCAGAGCTTTTAGGAATCGAATCCAGGAACATCATTCGAGCTATGTAAATAAGAAAACAAATTCAACATATACAGTTCATCTTCTAGAAGAAAATAATATCTTGTGGAGATTATATCGTGAGGTGTAGTTAAGAAATTACTATGGATCTTCATCAAGTAACGGCGAAATCAATCAGAAAAAAAAGAATTGAATAGTTTAACAGCGTTATAAGTGAAACCCCTTCGAAACAAAGCTGTCCTTGTACCTGGCATGAACATGATGCGTTTCAGATCTTGAAAGCAACTTATCTTCATTTCCAACAAAGTTATAATACGTTCATTTACGAATTGTAAATAAACATACACATTAAGTATTCTAGTGTCTTCCATAGTAAGCCAATTCAGTTCAGAACGATTCTCAGAAACATTCTCAAAACGTCGAAGACTGTATATAAAACGAAAACAAAAACTTCGTACCTTTTGAAGATAAAAATTTAGGCATTATCAAGGCAAGACCCATATTTAAAGTCAGAATACGTGAATTGCGAAAGAACGAGAAAATCACAAAGAGTTTTTCATGGAATTGTGTTCAATATTTTTTTGAAAATAAAACACAAGCACTCTTAAAGCAGTGCCTGTGCAAACGTAGTGAATCATATTGGATTTTAATCACTGGAGATGAAATCCATTTAGAAAAACGTTCCTAGAAAGTTTATTTCACATAAAAGGAGTTCTCCAAATGAAAGAGTTCTTGAACAGTAAATTTGGGATGTACTGAATTGAACTCCAAAACGATGAGCAGCCATAGTACGTCGCGTATTTCTGATATTTGCCGTTCCTGGTGGAATCAAATGTGCCAAGTCACCTGAACACTTCCCGTGGAAGTATCTAAAAGAGAGACAAATCTCCAACCGTTCTTCGACGTTCCAGACTATCAAGATTGCAACTGATGCTCGTGTTTTCAATCAGGCGGATGGCTCTTTTCTGTATGGAATCCAGCAGTTTCAGAGTATGTTTTGGGGCAAAGCTCCATACATGAGACATGATTGTAGCAAGACATATTGGTGTCCACTTTAACCCCCAACAAACTTATTGAAGCAGAAAGCGGAATTGTCTGACCTGGCATTATTAGATCTGGTTCGGAAACATTTATCTTTTTGACGAGAACCGATTCCTGTGTTTTTGTGGCAATTAACTGAACCTGGATACTTCTAGATCCTCATTAACATTAACCTTCTGTTGCTGGTGACGATGTGCATCCGCGGCTGATGTCCTAGAAGTGACAAATGCGACAAGCGAGACAAGTGCGCTGTCGTCAGCAAAGCAATTTATTGGATTCTTGTTTTTTTCCAATAAGTTATTGATATACAATAAAAATAGGGTTGGAGACAATATGGATCCCTGGGGATCCAAGATATTTCCGTCGACGGCCACTTCTAAGAAACGTTCATTCAGAGAGCTGAAGAGGAATACATAAAAATGATCCGACAAACCATAGCATCGAAATTTGGCCAGCAAACCCTCAAGCCACACACGGTCAAAGACCTTAGAAATATCAAGTGCAACAGTTTTTGATTCTCTATGTGTCTCGATTGCGTTATTTCAAATATGGGTGACATACGATAGAAGGTTGCCTGTTGATCTTTGTTTCCGAAAGCCATATCGATGATCGCTCAAGATGTTGAAGCCTTCCAAATCTGTCTGTAAGGACTAACGAGGTCTTACCTTTTGGGGACTGGTCGATAGTTATTTGGAAAAGTTTTCTAACCCTTTTCGGGAATAGGCTGAACGCGAGCAATCTTCCAACAAGAAGAAAAAACCTCTTTCTCGTAAAACAGGTTGAAAAGTCTGCAAAATACTTAATCTGTTACTATCTAATGTTATTAGATAATTGTTAACATGTTATTAGACAATATTGTTAACATGACTTCTGAAGCTGAGATCATTATCGAATGTTGAACCTCAATTTTCCGTAGTTTTAACTACTGTCAGCGAGGTACTATTCATGGCATTGCTCGTCGTGGCAGCTGGTATGGCCTCGTTTAAACTCTGCTACCCACTTTTTTACTTGAGCAGACTCGCCCATAGTAGAATGTAGTCCAGCTTTTATATTGGTTGGGCTGAGGCCTTCCAAATGAAAGTATTGTACCGTATAACAATGACCAATTTTCTCCATTTCCACAAATCTACCGAAAAAGGTCGCTATTGATGACTGCCAAACGAATACTCAACAACGCAGCTTCTTCAAACTTGAAAAGTATCCTTTATAGATTGTCTACTTTCTAATAGAGTTATGTTTTCCAAAGAACTACCGCCATCTCTAGGTCAGGCCGGGTACTTCTGGTATTACCCTCGTATATTTACCGGTTCATTGAAATATAAGTGTGTCTTAGGCTTCGGCATTGATTTTAACGTGAATCAAAAAAGGAAAAAAACAGTTACTCAATTATATTTATGTGATTTTCTTAACTTTTCAGCATCTGGAATTGATTATTTACTAGGATTCATGTGGATTCATCAAGTTATGAATTCTTTTATTGTTGAAGTATATTTTTTGGACGAAGATCTGAACCACTGATTGCTCATAGGTTCTTGAACTATGAAGATCCATTCTTTAGCATTCTGAAGTACTGTGAATGAAATTTGAATTTTTATAATGAAAATTCGCTTAGATCTTCATTTGAGAAATCCATTATTTTCATAAAATTTTCGGATAAGAGACTTTTGGAAACATGAAATTCATAAAAGTCACAATATGAAATGCAATTTCATCTGTTCTTTGAAAATGGATGATTTTATCAAAATCAATTCGGTAGTATTACACAATCTCATTACTAGATCTCGAAATGATCCGTCAAAGACTTCCATTTTCAGTCGACGATATTATAAATTTCACATCGTTATCTTTTCACATGAATATTTCCTAGTAGAAAATCAAAAACCAGCTTCTAAAAGTGACACTGATCACATGTGCTTTGCACGCAATAAGATTAGTGTTCGCCGACTTTTTTCCAGATTTGGTGTCGAACGTAAGTACCGTAATTGTGGCGGTATAAGTATAGAATTACTCGACATATTCAACAGTTGCTTGGTTCACAAATTACTTACATTACGCTTGGAATTCGATTATACAAGTATCTTATTGAGGGACATTTTATGGCGACAACATACGCTGCCACTGTC